CGCCTGCGAGAACGAGATGTACGTGGCCCTCTGCTCAGACAGGAGACGATAGATCTTCTTCCGTATGGCTCGGTCCGCCGCCATGAGGAACGGCAGTCCCGGACATTCCGAGCGGAACTGTTCCAGTTCTTGCAAGTATTTCAAGGGACCTTCGGCGCGTGAGAACGCGCAGATGTTGAGGTACTCGAGCGCCATGAAGAACGCGTGTAGCCGGTTGAACAGAGTCATCACGTCCGTGACCGGTTCCGGCTGATCCGCCTTGGAAATGTAAGGTCCTCGGCGTTCCGCGAAAGACCGGCCTTGACCACTATCACGTCCGAGCGAGTCCTGATCTCGGCTGGCTCATAGAAGGGAACTATCCCGTGGATAAGGAAGTCACGGGACAACCGCTCCACGAACTTCTTGTGCGGCTCCTTGGCATCGATCAAGATGACATCCGGGTGGACCCTCACGAAGCGATCGCGAAACTCCGCGTGATCCTCCTGGGAGAGCTCCGGGATCTTGTTCGGGCCCTCCTCCATGCGAGCTCGCCGAGAGGCATATTGGGTTTGCAGAGCTTGCGCAGCCTGCCACACCGCTGCCAGGGACATCACAGAGAGCTCCTGAGCTGCCGCGTCCGCCCCGAGCGGGGCCATGTCGTCCTGCCACAGTCGACGGAGCGTCGCCTTCGCCGCAGTGAGGTCTTGCCCCAGCATGGCGAACATCTCGACCGTGAGCAGGCCCTTGTCCGCCGAAAGCCTGCATAGAGCGGGATCCAGCCCTTGCCTCCCAAAGATCTGGCGGAGGTTCAGCTTCGGGGTCGCCGCCTCATCAGCGTACACGGTGCGATCCACCATGGCTCTCTACACCAACAGCCTGAAAAGGCTTCGGTCATCGCGAGATTCAGCACCTACAGACCACCGGATCATCGTGCATGCTTATTCACGGCTCCGTAAAGATCTTACCGGAACACAGCGAGCACATCTGGGTGCTCGGTGGAATCTCACCGAGGTCTTCGCACTCGGTGATCGCATATCGGCCACAGAGCGTTCGCTCCGTGCCCGAACCGTCTATATACATGGCATGGTACTTAAGGCTCAAGTCCTTAGAGGATCCCGAAGCCGATCTAGCCTTGGTGACGTAGGTCAGGGCGAGATCTCCGAAGTCGACCAGGTTAGTATCGTCGGCCTCGAACTCCGGCGGAGACTTCCAGTCAGAAGCGATCCTCTTTGTGAGCCGCTTGACCATCTCGATCGAGATCTCCTTCCGGCTCCGAGCATACTTCAGAACCAGCTGGCTCGGATCCTTCCAGTTCGCCTGGAGCCCTATCTCTTTGTCGGGCTCTTGCACCTGGACCGCCGCCGCGAGCAGCGTGACCCGGCACGAGTGCCAGGTGATCTCCGGCACGATCTTCAGGAGTTCCTTGAGCTGCTCCGGCGCAATGTGCCCTCGCTTCAGATCATCTGAAGCTGCCGTAGTGAGCACATACCGCAGCCACAGGATGCTCCGTTGGTAGCTCGCGGGCCGATCGGCAAACCGCTCGGCTGACTCGAGCTCCTTCATGAAGTAGTCGCGGTCGTCCATCTCGAACGATGCCGCGTGCCACCCGTCCTCCATCCAATCAGATCCAGAGACGGAGACCTTGGCCGCTGCGAACCTCGTTCCTTTCTTCTGCCGCTCGACCTTGGTCTGCCAGACTACTCCATAGAGAGCCTCGTCTTTCAAGACGAGCGTCTCGGGCACAACGTGGAGAGCATCGTCGAACCTTAGGGACGAGCAGATCATCACGAGCGCCCACCATCTCCGGGCCCGTCTCCTCCACCCTGACCGTGCTGATCCGCTCGTACTCCGCCTGCTCGCGATCGCGGAGGACGTCCGTGAAGACCTGCGGAGTGATCGCGGCTGAGGTGCGCGAGAAGCGCATGTCAGCCCTCATGCGATCGCGGGCTTCGGTGACGACATTCTCGGCGATCTGCTCCTCCCCCAGCTCGCCTTCGGTCGGCACCAGAACAGTGCTCACTCGCTGGTCGAAGACCTGGAGCCGAGCTGCTGAACCGCCTGCCGAGCCGCCTCGTCCATGAGAGCCGGAGGGCCGTTCCGAGCCCGAACGGCGTTGCTTTCATCGTGCGACCGGTGGGCGAGCGCCTCCTGTCGCACGAACTCCAGCGGGCAGACTCTGAGCTTCGATCGAGCCCTCACGTGGAAGTTCCCATGATCAACCGGGAACTCATCCGTAGTCGTCCCCACTTGCTCCTGCTCGTTGGCGAACGCGCTGTGGTACCAGGGGGCGATCACCGCAGACAGCTGGGCGAACTGCTGGATGTGGTCGGGGCCTTCCACGCGAGCGCGCTGGCTTCGCCAGGCCTGGATCGTGTTGATCAAAGTGGGGCCCGAGATGTGGCTCACCGTGAGCCAGGTGCCTGGCACGGAGGTCCGCCCGCACTTGAGATCAATCCGGTTGTTTGCGTCCCGGAACCGGAACTCAACACGATCGGCATCATTGCCATAGCCTTCTCGTGACGAGCGATCGGTCACCCTGAGCTCGCAGGTGCTCATGGCGTGATCGCTTGCCATGACCGCACCTCTCGGGCCGATCGTGTAGACTCGGGCTCCAACCTCGAATGAGGTCACGGAGACCTTCCATCCCACGAAAACCGAGATGACGATCGAGGGTCGGAACCAACCTTCATTGAATTTGGCCGTCCTGATCAGGACCTCGTCGCAGTAGTGGTGCTGGACTGAGGAGCGGTAGCCCCTGAACACCCAATGGAAAAGGACCTCATTTCCATTGAAGACCTTCACATCCACATAGGTGGCCGAGGTATCGAACATCACCGGCCATGTGAACGGCTGGAAGGCCGGGTGCGATAGCGCCCTGCTCGCATAGGAGTCCCACTGAGCACAGGGACCACCAGTCCTCGAAGTCATCGAGAAGAGCAGAACTGCCTTGATGCCATCGAGGGTGTAGTTCGCGAACAGCGAACAGTGGTAGCCTGAGTTCGGGGGCATGACCAGATCCCGCTCCGTCAGCACATTGATCGAGCTGGCGGCATTCGAGATGATCTCCTCGGCCAGCCAGTTCTGGAACGGGGAGACCACCCGATCGTCGCGATTGTCGATGACGAGGAGGGAGTTCTGGGTCTCGTCCTCCTCCTCGATCACGAGCTGGCGAACGAAATCCGGTCGCTGAACAGCGAAAGGGTTGTGAGCAGCAGGAGCCGCACGATCACGACGTCCTCGACGATCGTCGCGACCCCAGCCTCCTGAGCCCCAATCGCCGGATGCTGCAGCCGGAGCCGCTGGGTTCTCGGGAGCTTGAGCTTCGCCCGGAGTGTAGAACCCCCAAGATCCTTGGTTCTCTGTTGGGCCGATCCGGCGAGGCAGCCCGAACTGCGGCACTGACGGAGCCGCCATCGGGCGCCCCTGGGAAAAGCCAGCAGGAGGGAACGACATTGCTGCACTGGAGCGATCTATCCTGTTCCTCTCCCACGCCGAATTTTTCGGTATGGCCCGATCGGCTATCGCCAAAATGGCCACGGAAAGGAAAGATCACGTCTGTTCCAACGATCGCGAAACTGATCTCCTAATTCCTACCCACCAGACCGATAATTAGGAGACATATATATATATGTATATATATATATATATATATATATAAACAAATATGAACACATATGTATATATAAATATGTATATATGTATGCATATGTGTCTAAGTATAAATGTAAACATAAATGCTTGTATCCGCACGCATTTACATATATATTTATATGTACATATTCATGCGTGTGTATGTGGGTGTGCGGAAGGTGCGTATGTATGTAAATGTATGCATGATTGCATGCATGCATATATGTGCGAGCGTATGTTAGGAAATAATGTGTATACGTATGTTTGTATATACACCGTGTACATGTGCGCGCAAGAATGCGTTCATACATACATACTTACCTACATACGCACTTTGCATGCATACACTACTTGCACACACTACACGTACATGCAGACATACTTGCGTCCATGCCCACATGCATGCATGCATGCATGCAGGCATGCATACATACACACATACAGTCTCATACAGGCATGCATGCAAACATACGTCCATGCATTCATACATACATACATATGCACAGCATAGTCTAAACTCACATCCCCTAAGAGTGAATGTGGCGGCCAATATTTTGCCTCAACACAGAAGGATGCTTGCGCGCAGCACACTCGGTTCCAAAGATGGACATGACACGAGAATTTTGTCGTTTTCGCATCGGCTTTAGTCACTAGTCGTTGTAGTTCTAGTCCGACGGCACTCTGTAAGATCTTCCTTCAGAAAATGGCGCAGCTTGAGTGTGGCCCCTACAGTGGTCAGGGAGGATGGGAGGCAAAGCACCGTCGTGATTCTCCAATGATATCCGTCAAGTGACACACCCGGCAGAAACTGGAACTTGGGCCTTGCCTTTGGCACTGGGTTTTATGCGGGCAGGCTTTCACATTGACAGTTGCAGGACGATAGCATGTAGCGGCCAAGTCTTCGTCCTCAGGGCACGTAGTGCCCTCGGTTCCCTCGTTCTCGTGTTTTTGTCCTTCGGTTCGATGGATTGTAGAAGACAAACATGGAATCAACAAGAACAAAGACAAGCCATGAGGCGCCTATCCACAAGGATGCTGCCGATGGAGAACTTTGTTTCTCATTATGTTTCTCATCTCTCTTGGTTTCTCGGCTTCACACTGAAGACTTCAATGCAAGCCCAAGCCCAGCCGGCCATTCGGCTTTACGCTTTGGGTTGTTGCCCACTTAAGCCCTATAGGCAACACAGATTTAAGAGTCGAAGCGGTCGTCTCTTTGACGTCCAGCTCCGGATACACTTTTCAATGCGGCTAGGGACACTTCCAATCCGAACAGGCGAAGACTAAACTCAGGCTACAGCTTCCAGAGCAGGAGTATGCTTGGAGCACGAACCCTTGCCTTCTTGTCAGCCCAACTTCAAGACCGCATCCTGAAACAGGCCTGGCCTGGCTCTTCAGCTGCAAGTTCGAGAAGTATTCCAGCACCTGTGATTGAAGGAACGTCACAGGTCTTCGGTTCTGGTGCCTCGCACGCCCCCTAACCTAGAGAATCACGAAGAAGAGAGCTGCGGAGTGCCTCAATCTGTCTTGACCGGAGCTTGTAACCTTGGGTACACGCTCAATATTGCGATGCCAGTGGGGGTTCGAGTCTCCTGCTTCCACATGCACAAGTGCCAACTCATGCACGCACATCAGTCAAGTGTGCCGTGTATGTGTCTATATATATATATATATATATATATATATATATGGTGCAGCGCTGCTAGGCCCCCCTCCCCCCCCGCACCCCATGGTATCCCCCCTCCCCCCCCTGTGGTTCCCTGTGGTGTGGGTTCCGCCCTGCCCCTCCCCCTGTGGTTGCGGTCGTCTCCGTGCTTTTGCTGGTCGGGCCTGAACTCCAAAGCCAATGACAGTGATGAGTATTATGGTCATGATGATGACGAAGATGGTGGTCATGATCCCCATGCACACTCTCCTTGCAAGAACATCACAAGCCAAGCACGATTTTCAACTACATAAAGCAATGAACATGTGGTGCCGAAGCCCAGAGCAACATAAGAGCAGAGGTACACAATACCGCGGCAACGTCGATGTGCACAACATCATTGTCATCATTCTCATCTGAGGGGCCTTGTGGTTCCCTGTGTTGTGGGTTATCCTTCCCTGTTCCGTAAGTTTTGGGTTGTCCACCCTCCCCCCACCGTTTGTCAAGGCGAGAGGCCTGACTTGGTGACTTGGGCGGCGGGGCATTGCGTAAGCTTGAAGGGGGGGGGGGAGCATACCATGGGGGGTGGGGGGGGGGGGGGCCTGCGACGCGCGGCACCATAAATGTGCCCCCCCTGGGTTATCCACCCTTTTTGGGTGGAAATGACCAAGTTGGCCCACTGCACCGTCTGCGACGCATTCCGGATGGAAGGTCTCACCGATTGCTCGGAGGGGAATGGGATTGGTACCAGGCCTCCCAAAATCCCCAAAGACCATAGACTGGGAATTTTGTAAAGGAACCTTGCTCCTTGAGGGGGGGTACCATATATGATACCCTCCCGCCCCCGAAAGATCAAGGTATTCAGGTACGAACTGACAGTTGCCTTCGTTGCTTCAAGAGTGCGATAGAAAGGGTCCTCACGGTAGGCGCTCACTTTCTGGTGAGACGCATACATAGAACCAGTTGGAGGTTTTCTTAAAATGTAAACGCACCTTCTTAAAGGGTCCTTATGATAAGGATCCTACTACAGTACTTGGGGCTTCTATATTGAGGCCCGTGGTCTTCTGAAACTCCTAAACACTAAAGGTCCATGTACCTGTACGTATCGCATATTGCCTTTCAGCAACCCTTTTACATCCAAAGTGTACACTGTGTAGGTTTCTCATAGAAGCCTTAAGAATTGTAGAACCCTTATAGATCTCTACAGAAGCCTTCTCAATCCATTATATAGAACCCTGATAAATCCTATAAAGAACACTGATAAGCTATGGGAACCAAGTGTAGATCCGAAGACCTGGTGTTGCCGGGCCTTGTTCGCCAAACTGGTGCTGTGCGTCACGAAGACCTCTGACGATCTCTCGCATATCCACTTCAGACTGCTTTGCAAACACTTAAGCTTGCTGTAGCTTAGCTAATTACCCATATAGACCTGGATACGCGTGGGATGGACTGCAAACACCGCACGTTCAAGCCTTGGAGGTCACCAGCGAGGTCACCAGCACTGGACACATGGCACATTGAAGAGTGATCTCACTGAAAGTGTGCATACCGATAACTCAAGTCTTGAGAAAGTAATTTAGTGTTTATCTACTGACTTTTCGTGCGGATGGATTCGTTCAGAGTTAGCTCGCCTGGTTCAAGTGGACCATGCGATCCTGGCGATCCTTTCCAGAAGGCAAAAGAGCAGCGCCATCAGCCTGCAAAACAATGCAGAGAGGTCAACGAAGGCAAGGCTCCGACGTGCCCAGCCGAAAGCCATGATCTGTCCATTTTGAGCTTCCGAGCTTCTTTGGGCCTCGTTGGACTTCTTCCAGTAGTCGACCCAGCGATACCACATGCGATAAGCGCAACCTCCGCGCCAAACTAACAGCATGGTCTGGCCCAACTTCTTCGCACGGCACGGCTCTGAAGTCCCACACAGCAACTGCCCTCAGGACTCAGTACTTGTACTAGTGGCAGAGCGTCTTCCCGGAGCCACTTCGTCCAATCCTCATGCAAGACTCACGACGGCTGGCTGCCCCCACATCAGCTGCAGAAGCACGGCCTGAACCCTGCAATATAGCAACACGCTTGGAAAAAACGAGACTCGTATGACAAAGCCCTTGACCTACTGGTAGAGTCCAAGGTCACTATCATCGGACCTTTCTTTTCAATGATGGCATCCTCCTGCTCCGAGGTGTTCAGCAAGAACCTAAAGGCGTCTGCGCAAGTCTAGGGCGGCTGACAGGCTTTGTCCCGATCTGCGATACTGTTAATTAAGGTAGGCAAACGATCTAAAGGGCTGCCTATCGGAGAGTAGTTGACCTCCGCTCGCCAAAATCGAACCACAGGCCGAGAGGCTGTTCCCCAGCACCCAGATGGCCTCCACTCGCTTAGGCGTCTGCATCTTCGTGCTTGAAGGCTTTGGTCGCTTCAGACTGAACGACAGGTTTCCTTGCTAACTTGATTGCTCCGTAAGGATGCAGTCGAACAGCGGGACGCTCTGAGTATTAGCGCATTACGTCGTTGTGTTCTACCGCTCAGAGTAGTGTGGAAAACTTGCGAGATTGGGCACAAGATTGGCCGGCCTCCCTCGGCATCTTCCATCAGGAGCGATCTCATGGTGCGCCAGTCCAGGGTGTAGAACTTTCGCAAGGAGAACACATCACCTGAACAGCTGAGTATGCTGTACGGTCACTATTCTTCGGGAGGGCTGCATTCGCGAAGTCGCTCAGCGGAAACACGACTTCTCAAAGGAAAGCTGAACATACGTTGAAGCCATTTCAAGCGGAGTCTCTGTCTTGTAGTTCGGAGCGCATGACAGTTCGCGGGTAGCGGATACCATTCCTCATATCGCATCTTATTGATGCGCATCCCCGCAACAAGCACGCATTCTGTCCACAACATACATTGGGTTGGATCGAGGATACATACCCGTGTACAGCTCGTCCAGCCCTATACACGTTACAGGGGCAACCAGTCATAGCCAACATAGAAGCTAATCGCACCGGAGAAAGCACCTAGGAAGAACGTACAAATTCCATGTCCGGGGGTTGAGGTACGGGATGGTGGTATCTATGAATCCGGCAGGGAGTGCCTGCTTGCTTGTTGACCCACTGACGATCCCGCAAGGCATACACACACAGACAAAGGCCGAGAAACTCCTCATGGCCTTTCTTGTTTTGGAGGGCGCGCTTTATACCTGCGATCGCAGAGACGACTGTGCACACATGTAAAACCGAATTTATGCAGCAACGCTCCAGGTCCTCGCGGGGTGTCATTTGCAAGTTTCATCTTGTGACGATTGCGGCGGATTGTCGGGCAGCCTTCGAAGCTTCTGGCAGATCTCTTCCACTCCTCGATCAAGGTATCTGCAGCCTTTTGTGAATACTCCTCGCCTCGGAACAAAAAGAGAGGAGAAGAGAACTTTTTTAACTTGATTAGAGTCTGTGGATTTTGGAGCTTCTGCAAAATATGGAGGAGGAGACATTCAGGATGCGCCACGCTCTTTTCCAAGAACGTGTGCGCTTACAGCCTCTTGGCTTGGGTCTTTGATGTCTTTGCTTGGGTCGTCATTCGTTTACATCTGGCAATCGTTCGCTGCAAATTAGCGGGCAGTCGGAATGAGAAAAGAATCTGCTGGTGACACGGTCGTCCTCCCCTGAGAAAAGCAGGCTTGAACGAAAGTAGGCAAATGGCACTACCAATCATATCAAGAGGCCGAGGACGTGCCAAATCTTGATGACCTCCACAAAGGCCTTCTGCGCCCTGACATACTGCATGTCCAAACCTTGGTTCTGAAAATGGCAATGATGTCTCAGTGGGTCTGTTCCGACCTCGCGGCAAAAAATGTTTGCAGCTGATTGCTAGACAGCGTGCCGACACTCTCACAGACTCAAAGCCTTCTGCCTGTGCGATTTGTACATAGTTTTTTGTTGAAAGTCGTGCACCTCAATAACGACGAACGCGTCTTTGCGACCTGTGAAGCTACAGACGGAAAACCCCCGCGAATGCCGTCAAGGTGGCTCCAAAGGATGTGCTGCTGGCCGCCTCGTTGCTGGCAGCAGGAACCGGAACCGGAATCCTGTGCTTCGTGCTCACCACCTGTCCTAGGTCTTAGGCCTTAGCATTTTGTGCCCAGATGCCCGATGCACGCTTCAGGCGCTGGTAGCCAGTGTCATTCAACTTCACGCAGTGCTCCTGCTCTTATTTCTGTTTCCAGAATGGAGTCCTCTCCGATCGCACAAGCCCTGCTGCCCCCAAGCTATAAGCAATGAGAAAAGCCTTCCTAAGGCCAAGCTCTCAATCCCAAACAATCAACCGACCGTGGAATCTTCGGCCTTGCTCTCGAGACATAAGCCTAGAGCGCTTAGAGCGCCTCAGCACGTCTCCATCTCTAGGTTCTTGGAAAACCTCGCCGCTCCTCGGGCCACTTTCCCGAGGCAAGTGCCTGAACTGGACGCTGGCTGCGACATGATGCGGCTGATGCAGCCGCTCGACTCCAGTCCATGTTAGTGATAGCGTCTATCTGCATGCTAACGTGTTTCAGGATCCAGGCACAACTATACCCGCCAGGTCGTGAGAGCCCTTGCCGCGGTGCTTTTGCTACCTGACGAGCAGGAGGCTCTGAGGCCCGCACGGTGAAGACATCGAGCACGGCCTGCCGGCCATAGTACACTGTAGCACCTGTAGCCCTTGCTCCTGCGGTCGCAACCTGAGTTTTACATTGTCTGCAGGTTGTGGTGGCCTGGTTTCTCGTGAAGGACGAGTAGATGCCGCGTCGTTGCTGCTGACTCTTGCACACACTACTTCCAGCCGTGCAAGTCAGAACACAAATCCAGAAGCCTCCTGCTTGACCCAAACGCCTTTGACTTCAAACCTCTGCTTCCTTTTGTCGAGTTGTGAAAGTTGCATGGTATCACCAGCCTTCTGCTGACTGCGGACCAATCGTCTCAGCTCGACAAAGGCCTGTGCATGGAGAGCCTTATAAGCACAATCTGTTATACACCGCGAGGCTTACCGAAATCTGGCTTGCTGTGTGTTACGATAGGAACTGTTGGTGGTAGTAGTATTAGTAGTAGCAGTGTAGTAGTACTAGCAGTAGCAGTAGCAGTAGCAGTAGCAGGAGCAGTACTCGTCGTAGTAGTAGTAGTAGTAGTAGTAGTAGTTGTTGTGGCTCCCACTTGTCGGACTCGCTCGGATTCCGCACTAGTAGTAGTAGTAGTAGTAGTAGTAGTAGTAGTAGCTCCCACTTGTCAGACTCGCTCGGATTCCGCAGCAGTAGTAGTAGTAGTAGTAATAGTACCGCATCCCCCCCGGTGCGACGCCCAGACCTCTCATGTTTTTTGGACTTGTTGTGGTCGGAAATGCTGTGTTGTACAACACTTTTTTCCGCAGTTATCGAAAATGGCAACTGTTCCTGGTTTCGTGTGTATTTTTATCAGGTTTTCTATCATTGTTCATCAATCTCGCACCTCAAAATGCTGGTATTTACAGCACTTGTCTTTGCGAAAATCATGATTCTTGCTGTTTTTTGAAGTCTCGATTTTCGTGCCCAAAACCTAGCGATCAGAATGCAGGTTCTTTTGGCCTAAATTTGATCATGATGTTCATCCAAATCGTTGGAAAGAGAGCATCCATGTCCAAAATCTAATGACGTCCATGGTCTAGCCCATTTTGGTTTGGAGACTTTCCATGTCCAAAACGTAATGACGTCCATGGTCTAGCGCAAGTTGGGTTTGGAAAGCATCCATGCCCAAAACCTAATGACGTCCATGGTCTAGCGCATTGAGGTTTGGAGAGCATCCATGTCCAAAACCTAATGACGTCCATGGTCTAGCGTGTTTTGATTTGGAGAGCATCCGTGTCCAAAAGCTAATGACGTCCATGGTCTAGCGCATTTTGGTTTGGAGAGCATCCATGTCCAAAGCCTAATGACGTCCATGGTCTAGCGCATTTTGGTTTGGAGAGCACCCATGTCCATGGTCTAGCGCATTTTGGTTTGGAGAGCATCCATGTCCAAAACCTAATGACGTCCATGGTCTAGCATCGGCAACATGCCCAACTTCTGAAGCTTCTGCACACCTGAGGCCTCTGTAAAAGCACGTGCTCTCAAAAAGGAGGGTTGCTTCAGCGACACCAATGTCCTCGCTCTCACACGTTGCTCCAAGTAAGCAGGTGCATATTTGGCCAAATCAGCATTCTCCGGATTGTCGGTCGTCGGTCCATCACAGAAAGGACACTTCGAACTGTCTTTTCTATGTCCCACCTGTTGACATTTACTGCAGCGGTGTGGACGATCCTTGTCCTTGCTACGCCGCATCTTGGACCGCGACAGCTCTGATGGAACATGTTGTACACCCACGAACTCAGCGACCGGCGTCGCACCAGGGGGGATAGGGTAGTAGTAGTAGTAGTAGTAGTAGTAGTAGTAGTAGTAGTAGTAGTAGTAGTAGTAGTAGTAGTAGTAGTAGCAGTAGCAGTAGTAGTAGTAGTAGTATAGTAGTATAGTAGTAGTAGTAGTAGTAGTAGTAGTAGTATAGTATAGTAGTATAGTAGTAGTAGTATAGTAGTATAGTAGTATAGTAGTATAGTAGTATAGTAGTAGTAGTCGTCGTCGTTGTAGTAGTGTCGGTCGTAGTAGTCGTAGTCGTCGTAGTCGTAGTCGTATCGTAGTCGTAGTCGTAGTCGTAGTAGTAGTAGTAGTAGTAGTAGTAGTAGTAGTAGTAGTAGTAGTAGTAGTAGTTTGTAGTAGTAAGTAATATATATATATATATATATATATAATTATATATATATATATATATATATACATATATATATATACATGTGCATATACACACATAAATATTATATATATATATATATAATATACAACTATAAAACTGAATAGATAAGTATGTGTAGACATATATATGTATGTGAGCATGCTCACGCCCCGCCCCCATGATCCACCCCGGGTGGGCAGCTCCAGATTCGGTAGGGATCGAGTTTCCAATAACTTCTGAAGCCTGAAGTGCTGAACATCGGCAGGGATCGAATGTCCCCGAACTCCGGAAACATGCCCCACTACAGCCCCGCACTCCCCACAGATGCCAGGATTTAAACCAATCTGTTGAAGTTCGATACCTGCCAATGCGTCCGCGTTTCAGGCTTTACAAATGTGGGAAAAATCGAGCCTGGTAGCATGTTGGCAACCTCGGATGCTAAAACATTGGCAAGGATTGAGGAACTGAACACGCATGGCTCTGATTTTTCTCTCCTACCTAGCAAGGACGAGGCCCACATTGCAGTGAATCTTGGTTGAACAGCAGGAAAAAGTAGGTGCCAGGGTTTGGGGAATCTTGGGGTACTTCGATCCCTGCCACGGTTTTCGCATTTCCGACTTTACAAATTTCCATGAAATCGGAGTCTGGCGGCATGTTGCCAACCACGGCTGCGAAAACATCGGCAGGGGTCGAATGGCCCAAATTTGCAACACTGAACATTCATTGCCCTCTAGATGCCAGGATTTGTCCTGCAATGCTTTCGCATTTTCCAGCTTCAGAAATCCGAGCCTGGCGGCATTTTAGCAAGCTGGAAGATGAGCAACAAACCTAAACAATAATAACGATGTCGATGTCGCAGTGCCAGTAGTACAGGTATTACTGCTTTTTGCAGTTGCTGTTGTTGTTCTTGTTATATAGATGTGGCTGATGCGGTTGAATGACAGCGCTTGTCGAGGCCGTCAGTCTGTATCAAAACATTTCTGGCTAAAACTATGCTTATAATACCTCGCTCATTACCCTAGAAAGACAAAGGAGAAGAATGACACTATGATATTTTGGAGCATCAACTAGAGGAGCTTCTTCATGCCTGCTCATAGTTGGAAAAGGCTCGTCTGCATCTGAACACCCACAAACAGAAAAGCTCCCTGTTGTAATATAAAGGTGGGCAGGCTTTCGTACGAATCACAAGATACACAGTGCTGGGCTAATTTTGCTTCGATTACATACAGAAATAACCAAAGTCATCAGACATTGTGTCCCCTTCATCGGGATAATCATGTAGCGGAATTCTTTTGCAGCTTTCCAAAACCGTAAAAAAAGTAGAGGGTTTTTCCTTTTGCTGTGAGGCAATATCCAATTTTGTGTCTTGTTGAACGATGTAGCAGCTCTCTTGGTTTTTGCCGGTAGCATGGGGCAAAAGAGTCTGGTTGCTTGTATGCATGGACTAAGAGGTCTTTGTTTTGCATGATGCTAAGGGATGAACAATGATTGCTCGACAAGTATTTCTCTGTCCTACTTCCATTCAAGCATGTGGGTATGGAAGTGTGCTTCCATATGTTTTGCCTTTGCTTGGTCTTTGCTTGTGGTCCTGCTGCCAGAACCCGAAAATTTGATTTGTTATTGTGGTTGTAACAGCATTGGTGTGATTACACATGATATAAGTCACGAGCAGCTGTTCTATCAGAGTTATAACATGTAAGAAGCTCGACGCACTTCACGTGTATTCGGGTGTGCCTGGAATATTTATTTCCCCAAAACATGACGATTGCATGAAACACATGGTCGTTGGCATTTTACAAACAGAGATACACAGAATGCCGCATAGCATAAAGGTATGGAGGTGTGTTTGCGCGTTTTCTTGTGATGAGAAGAAAGGTGATCTTCTTGGTCGTCGCCTTTGCTCTTGCTGCTAGAACACGAAAACGTTATTCTGCTTGTAACAGGGGCTGTCTGAATCCACATGACAAACAAAACAAAGAAACAGCTGTTCCGCCCGTGCTACAAAACGTAAGAAGCCCGTCACACTTTACTGATGATCGAATGTATGCGGAACATGGCTGAGGGAGACAACTATTTTTCCGAAACATCAAAAACTATTCAAATGTCCTTTGCAAATTGCAAGAGCTCGTTGCGTTCTAGCCACTGATAAGGGACGAAAGAGCCCTCTTGTGTTTGTGTGATGGAAAAAGATTTCTAATGAACGTTAACACCAAGTATGCAAAAACCACAGAGTTTTCCTGCGTCTTTCTTATTTGAAAGGGGCTTGTGTGTTTGTGCCAATGAGCGCAGACACAGAACCGCATTCTTATTTGGGTTCTGAGTGGTTTACTTCTCTACATACCACAAGGAAGCATAAGAAGTAGAAGTCGGTATATGTGGAGTGTAAACACCATCGTAAATACCGAAAGATTCCGGAACGTGGAGAGAGCATTTGGAGACATGATGCTGCAGACGAACAATTGGCAAGAATGCCAAAGCGGATCGTTGTTGGGCGGGACCTGATTTATATGTCTCTCTCTCTTATATATATATATACATAGACAAATATATGTTATGCAAATACGTTTATAAAAACCACTAAATAAACCAATGAGTGTGGGTGTATATAAACATGAAAATGAATACAAAAAAAATATATACATACATACATGTAGAGAGCTATACCTATACTTACATAGTTACAGGTGTTCATGCGTGTGTTCGTGCGGGTGGCCGTGTGGGCGTGGGTCTGTTTTTGTTTGCGTGGGTATGCGGGTGGGTGGCTGGGTCGCTGGGTCTGTGTGTGTGTGTGTGCGCATGCACGTGTGTATGCCTGTGTGTGTGTGTGTGTGTGTCATCCCTGTAACAAACGGTTACGTAACAAATGCAGGGGGCGGATGGACTCATGGCAGTGCCTAGACAGCTGAGGATGTAGCTGGCATGCCCATGACATAAGTAAAGGTCAGAAGAAGAGCCACATTCCCGACTTACATCTAAACTAAGAGGTCTACTGCAAGTGTGGCACAGCATGGCTATCCCTCGTTGGCGCCAGCTGAGTGGAAGGTTGCTTCCGCGAAACAGACTTTACACGCTTTGTCCGAAGCTCGTGACTTTACTGACTCTGGAGCAACGGGAAGAATATGAAGATTGAAAATATCGTTGACAATTTCGTTGAGTTTCTTCTGATTTGTTCTTTTGTTGATTGATTCCTTGCTTGTCCTT